TTTTGAGACATACGGTCAAGCATTTCCCTGGTGTAGAATCACTTGCGGATTTCCACCGCCAGTATAAGTTTTTTTGGTTTTAATGCATTACTTAAACGAATAAGCTGTTGCTGATAAATATCCGCGGTAATAGTTTGTCCTAGATATAACAACTTATAATGCACTATACTCTTCATATCCCACCAGATAAACAGCATAACTTTTTTTGTATAAATATTGGGCTTTGAAGTCGATTTCGACGATTTTCCTGAATCCACCCATGATTTTTTTTTTCGTTTAGGGTTGTCATATAATATCCACAGGGTAGAGGTGGTGGCGCTCGTGAGATGTGGTAGTGCCTGAAAGCTCCGTCGGTTTTGGCAACGAATTATGTTTTTTTTAGTGGAATAAAGTGGAAGAAAACTGTCGAAGGGGCTCCTCGTAGTGTTATTAACAAGGGAGGTAATAAAGTGGAAGGGAAAAGAATTTTTTGAGAGATTTTTCAATGGATCGTTGGCGGCTGGCAATTTGGAGGTCAGATAGTGTTTTGAGGTGTAGGCGAGGGGTTGGAGAGGGGCAAGAACGATGGAGACAGGTGGGATATCTAGGAGTTAGAGAGTGGAACATATTAAAAGTGGTGAGAAATTGAAATTAATAGTAATGGAAGGACAACAGAGGCAACCCAAAATAAGAGAAGTTGGGCAAGGTTTGGATGGATGGATGGAGTGGCCACGAGGCAGTCTGTGACATGAAGAATTTGGGCAGTACCACGGAGGCAGAAGCATGGTTTGCCGGAAGTCTGGGACACCTGAGGAAAATAAGATGAATTCGAGGGAGCAGGGGAGGCAGAGGAGGATTATGGTAAAGGGTAAAGAGAAGAAGGTGACTATTATTTGAATGGTAAAATGAATGAAAGGCATATCGCGAGGAGGCTACAAGGAAGATTTTTGTGTGACCCGAAAATGAGCGAAATTTCCATAAATCTTGAATGAAGTGGAAGGCTGAGGGGCAGTAAATATGAGGGACGTAACGGCCATGAAAGAATCAACATGCAACGATGGCAGTGACGCTAAATACTGAGAAGAGGAGGTTATGGCTAAGGTAAGGCTGAGGTGGACGTTTCGGAGAGAAAACGTAATTTTTTGGCGGTAGGGCAGTACATATCTTGATTCAGGAAAACCTTGTGAGGCAATTGATCAAAAGAACTAGACATCGAAAGGGGCGGTCAGAGAAGGACGAGTTGAAGTTGTTGGAGGATGGAAATGGCTCCCACAGGGATGGGAGAGACAGCGAGAAACATCGTGAATGCGGGTGGAACCAGACCAGCGGAAGGACGGAGCAACGGATACGGATCTTTCAGCATGATCGTGATGTTGTCATTTGTGAAAATTTTCTTGAATCATTTGCGAATATTCTTAAAAATGTTTCCTAACGGTGTAGATATTCGCGTTGGCTTCTGGCAAGATCTGCTTTCCTTTGTGTCATTGTTCACTTGAGGTTGAGGCGCAAGGCAAATTTTTTATAATGATTTTTATGTCGCGCCGTGCAATAAGTCGAGTTTATCGCACGCTGCGCTTCGCGCAGCTTGCTCAACACTCGACTTCTGCATGGCTTGACATAAAATATTATAGAGCACTCGGTAATAAATTTCGTTTTCAACGAATGTGTGTACAGACCTCGCCTTCGGCTCGGCCTGTAAACTACACATTCGTTGAAAACGAAATTTGTGCCCTTGTACTCTAATGTACTATAGTTTTTTCAAAATTATTGTTGTTGTTCTGTGAAGGAGGAAGACATGTGTAGATGTAAAACAAAGAATAGTACATTATGTAACTAGTGCGGAAAGCAGGCGGTTACTCGCGAGGGCGGCGCAGCCGCCCGAGTGATACCGCCTGCTTTTCGCACGTGTTGCGTATACTATTTTATATGATAAGTGCGTGATGAAGTTTNTTCATTTTCGTTACTGAATTCTCAATGACTTATCACTAATTTCTAGAAATCAATCACCAAATTTCAGTGAAGTTTCGGTGAATTCTGTGACGTGTCTCTGAAAAGCAAAAATGATTTTTCTCTGTGTTTCCTTGACATTATTTTGATCATTAGAATTTAATAAAGCCCTTAAGTTACAGTATTTGATCGAAGAAGGAGTTTTTAGCGATCCTGCCGTTGCTTCATTGGAGAATATTTCATTTCCATTTTCTTCAAATGTCACATCACCAATCAACTCCTTCTCATCAGTAAATAAATCCTCCTCACTGCCTAACTCTTCATCACTATCAGGAATTATATGATTCTGGCTCATTTTATCTGCTTCGAAAATCACCTTTTCATTTTTCAGTAATTCCATGTATTCACTATTCGGAGGTTAGATTTCCTTGTTATTCTCTTTTAATAGGTGATGCGCATACGCGTCATGCGTTATTTCGGGTTTTAGTTGAGTATGCATAAGCGCTCGAAACCCACTACTTTCCAGTTGACTATAGTCAACTGAAACCCATGCGGTTACACGCACGTATCATATAAAAACTTTTGTAACATCCAGGAAATAAAGAATTAACTAATATCCACTTTTCATCACCGGTCACCATCTTATACAGGAAATCCTTTTTTTGAAGTGGGTTAACAAAGAAAGTGCCGTATCGAATCTTTGCGCCTTCATCTCTGGACTTCAACTGTGCGAGACCCATCTACCCTCTTTTTGCTTCCGGATGGAAGCATTATAATCGTGCTATTTTCACATTTTCTAATTTTGATTGGAACTGATGTAGAATGGTCTAAAACGTAAAAATACGAAGTTTGGCGACCATGTCTGTCGGTGTCAATGTCCATCGCCACCTTTCCGGTGGTCAATTTTTGGACAAATTGTGTAATTAATTGGCTAAACTTATTCCAAAAAATCTGAAAATTTGTCAGTTTATAGATCTGAACAAGGACTAACTCTGTGCAAAAGTTCAACCCGATTGATCGAACAGTTTTTGAGAAAAAGCTATTCGTTTTTAAATCGTTTTTCGCTAATATCTTCGAAGCTAGTCAACCGATTTCAATTTTTTTTCAAAATATTCGTTTCGATGCTTTCTATCCGAATCAATCAAAATATATATACCCGTTCATATAAAGTTTTCGAGATATTGCCGTTTTTCTGTTTTTTCATAAAAGTCCTTTTAATCACTCTAGCTTGTACAAAAATTGAGATATCAACTTTGAAATTTGGAGAGAATCTTCCTCTCATGATAACAATACTTTTTATTAAAAATGAGCTCAATCGCATCAGTAGTTTCCGAGATATTCGACTTTCTCTGAAAACCTTTTATGTGCAATAGCTTAAAAACTACGCATCCGATTTCAATTTTTTTTTTTCAAAATATTTGTTTCGATGCCATCTATCTGAATGCCTTCTATCTTGTTCGGAAGCTTACTACCAATGGAATGGGTAGAAATGAAAGAAAGAAAAAAAGTTATAACACATAAAGTAACGGTCAGATGGCTTCGGCCAAAAAGGTTCGAACCTCTGCTTGTTGAATTTTGTCAAGTTGATGTAAACGAAGATATGCATTGCTCAGTCACAACGAGTTGTAAAGCAAGTTCTTCTTGAGGTTGTGCAGAATTTTCAGTTAAAATTTGCTCGAGAGACATGTCGTCGAACTTTTCACATTGGCCCGGGCGTTTTCTATCCGAACGATCAAAATCTTCATCCCGAAATCTTTGATATCACTTCTTATATGTTTTGTGTGTTACAGCATTCACCCTAATGCAGCGCAAATCATTTTTATTGCTTTGGCGGAATTTTTCTTCAATTGAAATGCAAAAAAAATGCAGTGTCTTAAATGTTGCTTATCAACAGCCATTGTGTTCACCACTGTTTTTTGAGGTTGACTGATTTTTTTATGTGAAATCATGGTGTTATAAAAACTCAGTGTTACCAATTACAAAATTTAAAATATTCAGAACTTACTTAAATTTGCAAATGACATATCAAGCAAGATTTATTAAGGCACCGAATTAATTTGTATACGTAATATTTTGTTTACTTTGGTCGACCCATTTCGAGTCACTTTTGCTAATAATTTCTAATATTGAACACATATTTTTGAATGTTCTTTCCTATAAGTCCATCTGACTTATTTTATATAAAATTACGAAAATTAACTAGTGTTGAAATTCATAAATACACTCAGTATTGTTTTCTAAATATCTTTTGCTCCATTATTTTATACTTGTGAGAGACATCCTATCCCGAATGAATTAATCAAGTTTGATGTAGCACGAGTACGTCTGATATTAAATTAGTAAGGGTATGCAATGCACTCATGCCTCCGGAATCGAGGGGCTCTCAAGAAAGTATTTTCTTACGATTTTTTCTGTTTTTGGCGGTTATTAAGTAACTGAACTCTCTGTTCCAGGAAAATTCTTGTTTGTGTGAATTTAATGGTCTAGAGAAAATTCGTGGCACTTTATCACAAATCCAATAGTACAACTTCATAAGCTTTTGCTTAGTTGAGTCTCTAGGGACTTCCCGCAATTGTTATAATTCATAATAAAAAGTGTTGTCGCGATGGAATTAATCTCAGGATTTTACCTAGTGACATCGTAATGATAAGATCTTGTTCAATTCCAATTAAAACGTTGCTTCTTTCAGTGAAGATTCTTGAATTAGATCCGAAAGTGTTACTTCTAAAAATAATCTTGTCTTTATATCAACGTTGATCCACTATTTGTATAATTATAAATAATACAGAGCGAGATGAGTTGTAGTTCTTAGAAATAGGTCCATAAAATTAGGGAATTAATCCCCTGAAAATCTCATTCCAACTGTTAAGGATCGCTATCCGTTATCTTTCGTACTTTCTAACATTCACGATTATCTCACTAGAAAATAGTGATAAAATTACTTGAATTCAGGATTTCTTACTGATTAAATTTTTGAATGGCGCAGATCCCTAAAACTTCAACTTTTCATTTGTCTGTGAATAGAGATGACTAAACCAGTAAAAAAGTTACCGAAATTGAATCAATCATTGCAGATTTCAATTCAAAGGGACTATTCGCTATAACGCTCACACGTGGCAACAAATCGGTAATGACGACATCTAAAGGACCTTTCATTATCACCGATACCTATTGGGAATGGAGTTTGTTGCTAGGTAGCTCGTCTGTCTATGGATTGAATTCAGTTGAATTAAATGGAACATTTAATTGGGTTTACAACAACAAAGATAATACTGTAATTCCTGGATTTTTGGGGATCACAGATGATGGCGTGGGAATTGGTTGTTACATTGAGTACAAAGGGCCTATGGAAATTGAGGTAATCTCTACCAGTAACAGAAATACGGATTAAAACATATAATTGCACTTTCATTCTTCATTGCATTTCCGCGAATATCATTCACTGTCAAAAAGAAAAAAATTTCATGAAGATGAATTCCTGTTTTTCTAGAAAAGTAATTGCAAACAAGTGGGATATTACTCTTGTATTGGATATAGTATAGCTATTTTTACTAAGAAATTAGCAATATGCTTCCGAATGGTTGTTTTGCACATAATTTTTTTCTATCATTGTTTATTTCCTTTTATTAGAATGAATAAGATTTCCTTTTATCTAATTTTGTCAGATTTTCAACTTAGTTGAAAGTTATATCAGCGTCATTATACTTAATTTTCAATAATCATCATAAAAATCAAATCAATCAATATAGCTATCGTAATCATTTTTTGTCCTACCCTGTTATCCCATTTTACTTCGCTCTCTTCTAATGTTTCCGGTCGGTTACGATGGAGTTCTAATTTCTATACTGTTGACATGCGAGCCAACGTTTGATTGATGAAACAAGATTTTTCCCTTGGTCTTGGAACTTCCCAAGAAGTTTCCGAAATTGAGAGATATGCTATAACAATTCTCAGACGAAAGATGGTGGGGCTGCAATAACAGCAATCCGAAATTTTTTTTCAGCTGAGTAACGAAGTTGATTTTTCTTCACACTATCTGTGCCAAAATTCCATTTTATGGACAATTTGATGAAAATCCTTTTTGCCATCTCCGTTGAGGATACCTACAATTTCAAGAAATCCCCCAAAAAAGTGAAAACACAAATCAGTCCCCCAAAAAAGTATTGTAGATGTAATTATTGAATAGCATTTCCTATTAAAAGTTCAAAGAGTCTTTACCGAATACCCTGCGCTTGGATTTTTTTCGTATATATCATCATTCCACTACTGAAACTTTCATGTTACAGGTATTGCAGTCTAATATCATTATCTTAAGAGGAATGTCGATGCCAGAGACACTATCAATCCATATCTTTTCTGGAGAAACTCCACAGAATGTGACCAAACAATTTGCAGCCTTAGTAAGGAAAGAACAAACAACTGAAGTCACTCTGTCGAATCTCGGTCTACACATCTGTCCTGAGGAAGAGCAGGATATAACTGAAGAAGATTTGAAGTGGATAATCAATTATATGGAAAGTCAAGGTGCCCCCTGGGACAGTTACTGCATTCACAAAAAGTTCTATCCCACTCTGGACAGAGTCCTGGGTCAAGCTGAGCAGGAACTTCGAAAAAAAATTGAAAAAGTTCTCAATAAAAGAGGAAAAACCGTTTTGTATCACGTTTCTAATTTGTGTTCATATGGAAAGAGTAATTTAGCTTCTGAACTCGCAGAACAGTCTTTGTTACTGGAGAATGTTCATGGAGCTTATGTAGGAATAAGCGACAACGAAAGTGTTGTCTATCCCAACTGGCTGGATGAACGAACTATCAAGATGTACGATGCTGAAATTAAAAAATATCTTCAAGATTCTTCTGCTTTAAAGTTCCTTTATCTGCGTGACCTATGGCCCAGGGATGATTCAAATATTACGACGGATTTTTCTAAGTTCGATTATATTCCAAAGGTAATTGACTTTATTATTACACATACCACAGAATAATTTATTGCCACTGACAGCATACACTCTAAAAAGATTTAAAATATTGAACATGTATTCTACTCTATCTTAGGAGTCTTTCCTTCATCATACTTTTTTGACACTGCTGTTACGTTCACCTCGTACTGAAATGTGCCTTTGTAGCGGCTCGCCGCTACATATACACTCATATACATACACACTGACCAACGTCACCGAGAAAAGATGGCTGGTGCACGCACCTCCAGTCATTGTGTAGTGACCTTACGCAATGTTCCCACTTTGTTGGACTAGAGTTAATACGTGTCTGAAGAAGGTAGACGTCGGTAGGACATCTATGATTTCCGTAGAAAGATCTTGTCAGGATCTGAAGAATCGTGTAGTTAGACATTGAACCTCGCGTTCCCGCTTTGTTGGATTAAAGTTGAAGTTGTGTCGTGGGTCCGACTCCACGAGAGGCACAGTCGGCTGGGTTTGATGTCGTTGGGACGTGATGCCAGTTGGCTGTTGGGAGTCTGGTTTGTAAGTCCGATACTCGATTGGCAACAAATGTCGGCCAGGGTGACGCATGTTTTTGGAGACAGGCGAGTACTATTTGCAAGTCACTGCACTCGTGAATGGATATGGCTACGAGTTTCATAGTGTCTCTGACGCATTCCAAGACTCGAGCCAGCAGATGTGCAGCGCACAGCTCAAGTTTAGATACTGTCTGGTGCATTGTTGTGGCGATCTTGGAATTTCCTACGCTGAGGTGCACCTCTGTCTGGGAAATTCCATCACCTCTAGTTCTGAGGTAGATTGCTGCGGAGTAGGCTTGGGTAGACGCGTTACAAAACCCATGTAGTTCCAGGTTTAGTGAGTCTGGTGTCCGCTTGAGATATCGACTGATGTTTATTTTTTGGAGTGTTACGAGTTGAGACTGAAATTTTCCCCATTTTTCGAGAATTGTCTCGGGCATTTCTTCGTTCCAATCCATGCCAAGTAACCACAGTTCTTGAATAAGGATTTGTACTGTGATTTTTACTGTGATTCGAGCCAGTCCACTAGGTCGAAGATCTTGGCGACAGTTGAGAGAATTCCGCGCTTCCTATCCTTAATCGAGTTATCCGAGGACGCGCAGAACTGGAAGGTGTCTTGATTCATGTTCCATTGGACTCCACGCATCGTAGTGGTTTTCTTCTGATTGAATTCAGAGCTAAGGTCGCCTGCTAGTAGCAGTCTGATGAGAGACTGCTCTGAGGCTCTCAGCGTGGCTAGATGTCCATTTCCTGAGGTTCGTCCTACCGAAAAAAAAGAGTAGTTGTAGCGCATTTTGGATCTCTCTAGTTTCGTCACTTAACGAAGCTCCACTCAGATCCTCATGAACGTAGAAATCGTTCTCCAATATAGCAGAACTTCTGTTTTCATCCATAGCCAGTTGTTTCAGCGCGCGGTTCACCAGGAATAATGCTGGTGTAGTTCCATACGTTACGGTTTTTAAATCGTATGATTTCACGTCCATCGTACCAAATGGTTATCACAGCAGGGTTATCAGCCTTATTGATTGATATTACATGAGGAAGGACAAAAACGTCATTGGATGAAAAGCAGAAATTCTTATCAAAACAGAGCTGATTCTCCTCATTTAACATTTTTTAATTGAATTTCTTTTATTTGTACAGAAAATAAATTGCGATATAACTTGACGCTGACTGAATTTCCATGAAAACTTCTCAACAGTTATTCTTTTATCAGGATGAAATTTTGAACATTTGTGTCTTTTTTCGTAATGAATGAAAAAAAAAACGGGTCCTGAAGTTATTGTTTCGATCCATACTGGGTCACACCCACTCCAACCCACCCGCAAGGGGAGCGAGTGACCAACAAGTCAGTCGAATTCCAAGCCATTCGCAATGGGAGCGAGCGAAGCGACCTACCGACAACCCCGTCGAATTTTTGTTCTCATGATTTTATTAGTCTTTAGTCAAATATACGAGTCAAATTAAGTCGATTGGACTAATTGTAGGTCTAAGGAATAGGTGGATACCCGATTGGTTTCGTCATTACATTTGAATTTAACTCGAAACCAATAGATTTAATCCAAATAATATTATTATTCACTAATTTGATTCTCAAACATTTCAGGAATTGCATACTCTCATGTCAAAGGGATCGATTCCTATTGAATTATTTTCATTGACAGAAGAGTCCCATTATAAAGTCCATAATGGATATGCCAGAGAATTTCAAGCTTTTGTAGGAAAATACGCGAATTCAATACAAGTGGAGCTGTGGAATGAGGACACTTCCAGCGGATGGCTTACATTGAAGAAAATTCTCAATCGAGGCATTGCAAGTGGTCTTCTTGGGCAACTACCATCGGCCATCTATATGTGCAGTGTCACGTTGCCGTCTAATGATGATTTGTGTCAAAGGTAATGCAATATTAGTTCCAATACGACCTCACAACGGACCGAAATCGTTATAAAATGAAAATTGAGGAGAGATTTGATCATATTGAAAAATTATTTCTCCGCTGAAATTAGGTTAGCTTTTTGTCATCACCTAGATGCATCCACATCATGTTTACCGGCTGTATCAAGGTTACAGTCAATTTCATGTTTTTAGCTTGACCATTTTAATTTGTGACAATTTAATTTGTAACTGTTATGTTGTTATGTAAATTTGACGACAGAAGTATAAGCGAATAAAACAAGCAGCGCGACAGAAGCCATTTGACAGATTACATATGACTGCTACTCTCCACGTATCAAGTATCGCGGTAGAGATACGTACCAAGGACGTATGTGTGTACTGCCAGCTACCGCTGCACTTATTCCCAAGCGCCTTCCCCCTCTCCTAATACTCCCCGTTCTCAACAATAACAGATAGACGTGCGCCAGATTTGACAAAAACAAGTTATTCGCTTCGTTTGTTTTGGTTCTCGATTCTCGATTATTTTCTCAATATCTCGATGTTTATGTCGAGAATCGATATCTCGCTATCGATGTGGAGAAGAAAGTGGAAAATTTTGTTTCTCTTATTTTCATTTGTACCAATTTCATTGATAGTAGGCTTCCGAATGGATTCCAATGTATGTTTTCAAAAAATTAATGCATGAGTATTACCATTTATTGAAAATATTAAGACCCATCCCACTCATATTTCATGACAAAAAATGATTTTTTTTTCTCAACAATTTTGGGTGAATTGTTCCATTTTAAGAACTATCACATAAATTGACCTAAAATTTGGTATAGTAATGTTCCTTGATAATCCTAACTAGAAGCCGAAGTTTGAAAAGGTTACCCTGACTTTTAACCGTGTCATAGTGCGCAAAAGTGAAGTCCAACCAAAACAAAATTCAAAAACGACGCTATGTCGAAAAATTTCAATGGGATGGTATTCATATTTTATTGAATGTAGTGTAACATGATAAAAATCATGTACTGTTCCTCGCCTGAACTGACAACGGTTCATTGAGGGAAAAATTCGTCAAAAAGTTGTGATGTATTTCCTCAAACACGTATGCGAGTTTCACACATGTGATCCTTCATGAACCTTTGGTCACTCTGGATGGAAACTCCGAAGAAGTTAGTATGACTGGGAAAACACGAGAGGAACCAATACCAAAAGGGTGCCAGTCCGTTTAACCCCCAACGGACAAGGTCACGCGTGCCCAGCCTTGGACTCCCCATCTGGCGCAGATCAAAAACCGCGGAGGCGTGTGGGAACAGGCGATCATTTCAACTCTGGGAGACGGATAAGAGTCGTACGGCTGTAATCTGGTTTTGCGGCAAGTACCCGTTTCAGGATGTTGCAATGACGGGAGAGGCTGGATTTGTGGTAATGAAGCTGGGAGGAATTCATTTCTACAGCTGTTATGCTCCGCCGAGCCTCACCTTCGACGAATTCACAGACTTTCTGGATAGACTGAGTGCAGATGCGAAGCAGAAATCTTTCCTGGCAATCGCTGGAGGCTTCAACACCTGGGCAGTCGACTGGGGCAGTAAAGAGACCAAAGCAAGGGGGCAAGCACTCCTGGAGGCCATGTCCTCGTTGGACCTTGTTCTGTTGAACACAGGTGATGAACCCATGTTTCAAAGAGGAGAAAAAAGCTCAAACGTAGATCTCACCTTCGTGAGCAGTAACCTCGCAAGAGGAACCTACTCATGGCAGGTAGCTGACATCTACACTACCAGTGATCATCGTGCGATACTCTGGGAGGTAGCTTCCGGCCGAAGGACCAGGCTGGTGCCAAAGAAGACGAATGCAATTAGCTGGAAAGTGAGCACATTCGACCCGAGCTCCTTTCTAATCGGTCTCGACGACTGTCCGATCCCCGGCAGAAATGCCAAGGAGAAGACAGACGATATCATGAGGAGAGTGACTGACGCGTCTGATGCTAGCGTGTCCAAAAAACGAGCTAGTAATCATCACCCACCAGTGTACTGGTGGAACAACACCATCGCCGTCTTACGGAAGGAGTGCAATGCAGCGAGAAGATTGTCTCAACGTGGCTAGAACAAGCCGAATTGTAGGGAGTTGGAAACGAGATACAAGAAGACACGCCAGCAGCTCACCAAGGCCATCAAAAGTAGCAAGAACAAGACATGGAATGAGCTCGTTGCGGAAGTGGAGAGCGATCCATGGGGCCGGCCATACAAAACCGTGATGACTCGACTTAGAAGTCAACCGATGCTATCGCCAACATGTCCGGAACTCATGGAAAAAAACGTCACAGTGCTGTTCCCACAACAGTCGGAGCTACAACGGGGCGTTGAGCGGGAAGAGGAAGAACTGGTCCCACTGATAACTGAGGCAGAACGGTTAGAGGCTTGCAGTAGAGTGGGTAACACCAAAGCCCCTGGGCTGGATGGTGTCCCAAACGTTGCATTGAAATCAGCTATCCGTGCAAAACCGGGATTGTTCCTGGACGCATATAACGAGTTTCTCAGGGAGGGCGTTTTTCCTCCCAACTGGAAGCAGCAGAGGCTGCTGTCGCTCCCAAAAGGCAAAAAGCCGCCAGACGAACTGTCATCATACCGTCCCCTCTGTATGCTCGATACTGCTAGAAAGATCCTCGAACGCATCATCCATAGAAGGATAGAAGCAGTCGTTGACCCATTGTTAGCGGAGAACCAATTTGGTTTCCGGAGAGGCCGATGTACTCTCGATACCATCAGTCTTGTTGTTGGCAACGCTAGGGAAGCGATTGCAGGGACGAGATGGCGCTGGGGCACAAAGAAGCCTTGTGGCAACGTTGGACATCAAAAACGCCTTCAACTCAACCAGGTGAGATCCCATCATGAAGGCTCTGGAAGAGTTCGAAGTACCGCAATACCTGTGGAAAATAGTCGAAAGCTACTTTACTGGGAGGGTTCTTAAGTACGACACGAAGTGCGGGCCCAAAAAATATCGAGTCACTGGAGGGGTTCAGTATTGGGCTCAGTATTGGGACCTCTCTTGTGGAATATCATGTACGATGGCTTACTGAAGCTGACACTGCCACATGGCGTCAGCCTAGTGGCGTTTGCGGATGATGTGGCTGTAGTTATTGTGAGAAAACACCTGAAAGACATGATACTTGTTTTCAACATGGCCTTCAGAACTATTCGTCACTGGATGGACACCGTAGGTCTACAGCTGGCGGAGCACAAGACGGAGGCCATACCGGACGGAGGCTTGCTTCCTGATCACGAGCAGGAAGCAAGTAGAGACTATAACGCTGCAAGTCGTGGACTATGAACTCACTTCCCAGTCGGCCATTCGGTATCTGGGAGTGATGATCGACGCTCGGCTCAACTTTAAGCTTACCGTACATGATATACATGATATACGATACTTTAAGCTCACGTACGGCATTACCATCTGGGGCGATGCACTTCAGTTGCAGGAAGTACAGCGGAAGATCTACCAATCTACCGATCTACCGATTAAGTGCCCTCAGGGTTGCGAGTGCATATCGCACAGTCTCTGCGGATGCCGTATGTGTCATTGCGGGGATGCCATCCATAGAGGTACTAGTTGAGAAGCGAAAATCTCTGTACCGGCGGAAGAGATCGGAAACGCTCAGCCCCGAAGAACTGGTGACGGAATAGAAGCGAAACAGCTTAAGCCGATGGCAGCAGAAATTGGCCGACTCGACCAAGGGTAGATGGACCCATCGTCTGATCCCACAAGTGGCTGTCTGGGTAAGTCGAACTCATGGAGAAGTCAATTACTATCTTTGTCAAATTCTTTCAGGGCACGGGTGCTTCCGGAAATATCTCCGTAAATTCAAACATGAAGATTCCCCGGAGTGCCCGACCAGCACAGGAGTGGATGGGAACGCGCAGGACGTCTTCTTCGCATGTCTCCGTTTCAGTGACATCCGGGATACATGGGAGTCGGACCTCGGAAGGGAAATGTCCCCCGAAAATGTGGTAGAAGCAATGTTGTCATCGCAGGCAGCATGGGACGCAACGAGCGAGTTCACAGCTAAGGTCATGAAGGAGCTCAGGCGTGAGGAGCGGAAGCGCAGGGATGCAGTATAGGTGAAAAATCTATTGGCGAAGTAGTACTTGACGGTGGAGCCGCGAGGGAAATGGGCATGGACGATTAGAGGTAACAAAGAGGAAAACAGGGTTTTTACTGGGTAAGAATCCTAGATCTGGTTTTTAACATCACTTTATTAGAATCTTTTGAAGATTTTCCTAAACCTGTATAAAAAAAAAAACAAACACACAGGAGAGCAAAAATCTCAATTTGGACTTTTCTTTCATTGTTCTCGATTTTTTGTAAATTTAACCCTAAAACCTTAAAAAGACATCATGTGTCATACCATTGTATTCCTCTCACCGAGCACAATAATTTTTGTAACACGAAAATTGTCGGTCCTATTAAAGAAAAATTAACTTATACTTGTAGCATAGAAACCTAAACACTTATGCTCAAAACATGCTTCTCATTATTTTTCCCCCTCGAAGCTCTATAACTTTGGTCGGAAACATTTTCGAGCTCAACTACATTTTAAGTACTTATTTAGCCCTATAAATCATGTTGGGACACCGTATTAGAATTTATTCACAGCAAACGAAACTTTGGTTACACCATGAGAGCTGGAACGAGAGTGTGCTCCCGCGACAACGGTATTAATCCGCCGATCGAGGATGTCCGAATTATTACGAATTGTCACGAGGTGACATAATAAGGTATTTGGCTGCTAAGGCGAGCTCGAATACAATAGATTAAAATAATGCGAAATAAATATAAGTAACTTCGCTACAAAAAATTTCACGTGAATCCCGATGATATGAACTACATTTAAAAGAGTGGAAAAAAAAATTATGAATACGTTGAAATACGATAGTGAATACGTTAATACGTTGTGAATACGTTAATTGTGAATAAATTGAAATAATGCCAAATAAATATAAGTAGCTTCACTACAATA